ACATTCTACTGTCAGACCATTCTACTCAATGTATTAGCCGAGTAGGTAGTTTTTTTTTGTTTTTTTTAGTGTTTATTTATTGTTCAGATTCTCACGGGTTCATAATGATATTCGACAGGAAGTAATTAAGCACCTAAATGACTCTATGCTACTAAACCTGACTCACTTGTGTGCATTAGTTAGCGTCCCTGTCTGTTTCACCAAGGGTCGTGGGTTCGATTTCCACATCGGGCAAACGTTCGTGTGATGAACAGGTTGTTTGCTATTTGATAATTATTTTTTTTATGATTGAACGATTACTGGTGGCCCGGAGGCCTTTCCAGTTTCACCAGGACAGGTGGGCGAACAAAGGCTCAGCCAGGAGGGGTCGGATTTGCTAACAACTGCTCGAGCGCCTCCGAAGGACCTAACAACTCAAGAGCAAAGCATTTTCTGCGTGGTTATTAGCTTTATATTATGTATATATTGAAACGTATATAAGTATGTATGTCAATCTCTTGTACCTTCAACACAGGGGATCCTAATTTGGGACCGAATTATGAAAAAAAACAAACATACGCAATTATTGAACAGGTTCTTACGAGTTCTTATGATATCTCGCTATTACGGCGTTGGTGCAAGCGCCAATATCATGGGTAAACTAAAGACTGCGGGTGGCATATTAGGATCAGATAAATCTTTCTATCTTCTACATGAACTGGATGACTCGGCTCGACAATGTACATACACTCACATAATGTATGTGGGCGTTAATATTTTAAATAATTCGCATAACTATGTACCTACTTCAATATTATCATTTGTACATATTGAAGTACTTTGCTCATACAGGTACACATTTTTTGCGAGGAATTTTTCAAGTACCACTGTATTCAAAAATATTCATATATAATAGCGTGAAGAAAAAACACAACGTTAACTTGTAGAATAAGTTTATAATCTATCCTTTTTTTAAATTTCAAATTTCCGATAGAAGTTACTAAGATGACACTGAAAACAACATTAATATCTGTTGCGTGGATTTGAGGAACTAATTACAAGCACATGCACAAAAAATAGCCACATCATTAGCAAGCATCATTATCGCCTACAAAATTTATTTTAATTAATTAATTAATACGTACGCTGTGTGGTATTAGACTACAATAGTACAGCTCTACGTCTTTCTATGGGTATCATGAAAGGCGAGTATTATCAGAGAATGGATAGCAGCGATATCTGAGTATAAAGCCGATGTATTGCGTTCGCGCAGGGCTTACGCATCAGTTGATACTATCCGACAATCTGCTCATTATTAGCTTGTTATAACCATGCATTCTAGTCTCACGAGTGGAATAGCTGTTGTATAATGCAATTGAGGCCTTCACGGCGACGGCTTTCACGCCGTGATATCTATGGTCTCCGGTATCCACTTTACAGCAGGTGCGCCGTGAGCTCGTGAGCCCATCTGCGCAATAGAAGAAAACGTACATAGCCGCTAGATGTCCTTGTTGCGTTCGATAACTTCTTCTCAATCCCAATTTTGAATTTGATTATACTAGAGGTCCTGCAGTAGTCGAAATTCGACTATAATTAATTGGAATTGTAAGTTTGTACACTATAATGATTGTATTTTATACTTCTATAATCACAAATTTCGCCAAGACTACACTATAAAAAATACTAACAAAGACAAAAAATATTTAATCTTAATTTGACAACAGACGTCAAGAACAAAAGTTTGACAATAAAATTAAATAATATCCATGCGTGTGTGCGTCAAATACATGGTATGTGTGTAATGTTTTCTTTATTGATTTAATGTATCTTTTATGCATTATTTAATAAAAATATTAACATTGTGCACTTCTTCTCTATATTCTCTATAAGTGTGGAAAATTTCATACTCATCCGTCCGCGCAATTTTCGTAAAAAGGGATACAAAGTTTTTGCTTCATGTATTAATATAAAGATTTTTGGTAAGCTGTCAGGGTTATAGGTAAACTTTGCGCGTCACTTCTCTCTGGGGACGAACGATGTCTCTCTAAGACGTGTGTATTGAAATTTAGCATGTTTTATTTGTTATTTTGTTAGTTATTTCAACATAAATCCGGAAACAAAATCTTAATCGACCAATCTTCTGTGACGACGAATATTAGCAAACAAAACTATTATAAAATATTTACAATCGATTGATGTGTTTCGTGTTATGGCTATCGTTCGGTTTAACGACCTTGAGTTTTATTTGTAGCTAAACTTTTAAATAAAAACTCTATGGCGAAACGAATTTACATTATTTTATTTTTCTATTTCTATTCATTAATAATACACATAGTACGTTTCTACATATTTAGGTTATTGCGAGTATTTAAAGGAGAACCTCGGTCTTTCTCTTCTCCATCTTCCTCTCTGGAGGAACCGGACTCCGACATAACCTGGACTCCCCTCGAACGAATATCTGTAAACGGTTTCCGTAAATCGACTGTCTCAGTATTATTAACTACTAGGTATGTACATAATTGTGACTAAGGCTTTTCAATATTTTTCCTATTCGGTGGTAATATGGACTGATGCAATTGCTACTTACTATACATGTTCTTCTTCTCAGTCGTATGCACTCTTGGCAGAGTGGTCGTGGTCATCACTTCGGTTGGTGGTGCGCTTCACCAGACGTCGCCATTCCTCGCGTACCGCGGCCCTTCTTGTGCACTCGTTAACGGGACCGTTTAGAGCTGCCTTTATTTGGTCGGTCCATCGTAACGGTGACCTGCCGCGCGGTCTTGTACCCTCTATCATGCCCTGCACCACAAGGCGCTCAACATGTACTGTTGCTATATTATATGGACTGTTAATGAATAAAATATTTTTTTATCATCTTATTATTTAAGTTAACTTTAATTCTAACAAGCGATTTCAATTGTTTCCGTGGTAGTTAATACATTTCAATGATAAATTCTTAGTCATTTCAAAACTTAGTACCTACATTTTTTCAATAAGCAGTGGAATAGCCATACGTGATTTAAAGTAGCTACGACCACTCTCCATATGGACGAATACTTCAATTTATCCATTAAGTTGCGGTCTGAAGATGGAACTGAGAGTAAGGAATAATCATTCTTAAAAAAATCGAATTTATTCCATAAGCGCCTACGAGCAAGCGTCCGCAATTTGGACCAAACTAAAAAACATATTTTTATTGAATGTTGTAATAGGAGCAATGCGCATATATGTATGCAGATTTGCATATTTCCATATTTTATGTACATATTTTGTAAGGGACTATCCAACTTAGGAGGCATTGTGGATTTTGTGTGACTCCTTCGAATTCACGCAGTGTAAATAGCTCAGAATTTTTGGTTGGTTGCAATGAAAAATTGATTCTTTTTAATAAGCTTTTATTATCTTACGTATGTTGGTATGTATATAACGGAATCTTTGACCGTGATTTTGATACCCTTTAAGACGTCGGACTAACTCAACATTTTGCGTACTTATCAAGGATCGATGACAATTCAATATTTTAAACAGTTAGATCACTTATTTACTTTGGCAATCAAAACAACAAATCATTTGAGCGCCTTCTTTTTTCACTTAGCAAATTAGAAACTGTTGTACATATTTGCCTGAATGTATTTTAATGAACGATCCATAATACTACTTAAACTAAAAAATGAAAAATAAATAATAGTTAAAACAAGAAACAAAACACGCTTTTATATAAAATCCAACTAAAAAATAGAAAATAAATTTATCTACTAAAACAACTATCTTAATTAAAACAAGTAACTAACTACTATTTACATTACTACGACAACAGTCAACATCTAAGGGGTGCCTGCCACTGGCCCCGTGCCACCCTTACAATAAAGGGGAAGAAGGAACTTAGTACTATTCTGTGTCACTCGCCCGCCCCGGACTCCACTTTCGAGGCAGTCCGGGGTGGGGAGCGATCGAACACTCTCTACTGGTGTGCGAAGAAAAGCTTGTTTGTTTTCTGATGTACCGCTCGGTTCCAACTACCGTGCGAAGAGACAGGAGACCTGCAACCTCGCCCGCGAAGCTCGCTGGTTGAGGTGATACCAAGCCTCATCTGCGTAAGAGATACGGGAACGAACATACAGGTATCTTATCCATTAACATTATTCATTAACATTCGCTACTTTGACTTTGAAATATATGTATCTTTGGATGATGGTATGTATGCGTTTTTTAATGTCTTTATATTTTTAATTAAAATAAACCGTAGTGTTGTGTGGCTACCGATATTATGATCAATTATTCTGGTTTGAAGGTTATTATATTATACATCATAACTATAATTTCGGTACATCCGTCTTATTGATAGCGAGTTTAGTCCTGACCCGGAACCTGGAAGCCAAGACCGGCCGGAGAAGGAATCTCGCATGACGAGACGCCGCTAACACGTTATTGGCATGGGCGACCATACTCAACGCCCGGTCAACCTCGACCCCCAGGTACCGGATGCTGAATCTACACTCGTTAACCTCGTTAACGTTAACCTCTTTACTATTTACGAATCTTAAGAAAAATAATAGGTCAGGGTGACCGAAAAGTTTTATTATGAACTAGCTGACCCGGCAGACTTTGTAGTGCCTCAATCGATAAATAAAAGACCTAAACTTTTATATAGAATAAACTTAAAACAAACAAAAGGAATCCGTCCGACGGGGGACACGTCAAAGGGAAAACAAAATTGTTATTTTTATTTAATTCCGAGAATTTTCATATTTTTATACCTTTTAAACCTTCCTGGACTTCCACAAATAATTCAAGACCAAAATTAGCCAAATCGGTCAAGCCGTTTTCATGTTATGTCGTGACAACGGAAAACGGGTTTCATTTTTATATATATAGATAACATCACAAGAATATAAGAGATCTATCGCGAAATTAAATGGTTATATTTACTACACGGAAACAATTGAATTTTTCTTATTTTCATGCATTATATACAATCAACTATCGTTAGTTCTAACGATGATTGTGAACCACTTATTTATAAAATATAAAAGGATTTTTTTTGAATTGTACTGTTCAGTCCGCTACATTACAAAACAAAAGAGTTCATCTAAGAAATTATTATATCTGATACTATTATACTGGTAAGTGGATACTAACACTTAATATTTAATATTAATATTAATATATATTTAGCTAGAGCCAGAGCTATGTGGCTTTGAAATTTTACTCCAATTTTTATTTATTATTTACTCCACGTTTTTACCATCTCGCCTTTGTTTGTTTATTTATTGTATGTAAAATAAATGTTAAATGCAGAATATTCGGGTAATATAACCGCAGAAGGTAATTTTATCGATATATATACATATATATATTTCAGTACGGGTTCAGAAAACTCTGATTTAACCCTTTAAAGAAACAGATATTCATTTCAGTTTTTACAGGGCGGGAGGAGGCAGTTAGGTAATTTAAATGAGACTTTAAGATCATGTGTTAGGGTGAGTGGCGGCATTCAAGTTTTGATGTCCACGGGCCGTGAGCTTTCTTTATTTAGAAATAGTTTTTTGTATTTGGGAATAAAGGTGTCACGAAATTCTTATTATATAATTATACTAGCTACCCGCCCTCGCTTCGCTTCGGAAACTGTAATTTATAATTGACTTCTCCACTATTTAATGGTTGTTATTACCTTCCTCTTCAATCACTATCTATTAAAAAAAACGCATCAAAATCCGTTGCGTAGTTTTAAAGATTTAAGCATACATAGGGATATAGGGACAGAGAAAGCGACTTTGTTTTATACTATGTAGTGATTATACGAATATTAAACTTAATTAATCTTTTCCGATTTTTTTGTCTGGTATACAAAATCTGTTTTTTCTTTGGAACGCGCTCCTTCTTGAGATCAGCACGAGTACCGATCGTTCGGTGTTCAAATCAGAGTTAAGTTTTTAGATAAATTATTTATTTTGTTTATATATTTGGGTGTTTTGAGTATATTTTTTTTTTATTGCCCTTGTAGGCAGACGAGCATACGGCTCACCTGATGGTGAGTGGTTACCGTCGCCCATGGACTTCAGCAATGCCAGGGGCACAGCCAAGCCGCTGCCTACCATATCCGTATATATTATTTGAATTTATATTCTAATTTAATAAACATAGTTTTTATGGTTGTAGAGTAGGTATCGATTTTTCCATTAATTTATCAATCTACTACGTTCTTTTTCGCGTCACCCTCGATTATCTGATAAAATGAAAAAAAAGGTTTACTATTTTAATTCATAAATTTTACATACAGTTACTTTTGGTTTTTTTTTTTCAGAAAATGTTTATGCTCTTCATAATTTCCTTCATAATCGTTCCGGTGCTTAAATGTTGCGGCACAGAAACTTCAACTTACACAACTCAGTACGATGAGGTCGATATAAAGGAAATTATGGGCAACGAACGCTTGTTGGTAGCTTATATCGGCTGCTTGCTAGACAAAAACCCCTGTACCCCGGAAGGAAAGGAATTGAAGCGTAAGTGACGTTACGGTTTCGGCCTAGAATAACACCACCCCATTTCTAATCGTCGGTATCCTAAAAAGCTACTAAGGAACTCAATGGGGTAGGGCGCCGGCTGTGAGCGGCAGGAGTTATTAGTGAGGTACAACTCAAACATACCTGCCGCGCGGGTGGGGATCCTGCAATTTTCCAATGTGGAAAAAACAAGGGATTCAACGGCCTATTTTTGTTGCGAATCAGTCCTGCGTTCCAGTTTGAAGCCGTTGGGTAATACAATTGGAACTTCAGTCTAATGTTTCAGGGTAGGCTTCGTTATTTACTTAAGGCGTAACTATAATGTGGTAGGGCTAGTAAAATGCCACGGTCTAGGCCGAGATGCCGCTAACGTTAATGTCGAAGTGATTATGTAAAAGTATCAAATTATCAAGCGTTTCATGATACATTTACACGTCTCAAAATCTGAAGATCACCGCAAAGGGTTTGGTCGATGTAGCAATCTTTGAGAGTGCCGTATGTGGCATTAGTCCTGTATGGCATATGATCTATATTTTGAATTATTTATAATATAATACATTCATGAAACGATTGTAGATAAATATTTAATAATTATTGTAAATTAACATCAAGACAATCGCATGGCCGCATCTACCTCTATTACGTATTTTGATCATTTATCAGTCTATAGTATCGACCTATTTTCATATAGGAAATATTCCGGATGCTTTACAAAGCGACTGCAATAAATGTAGCGACAAACAACGGGAGAACGCCGACGCTTGGATTGAATTTATGATAGACAACCGTCCAGAAGATTGGACAAAGCTTGAAGAAAGGTAAACAAAAACTCTCGACTCGAGCATTTGAATTATCGTTCTATAGACTTAGAGCTAATTAGATATCGTCGCTGTCAAACCAAAATCTGCTATGTGCAAAAATTCTTTTAATTAACAAGTATAAACATTTTCGTATAAAATTTTATATGAAGGTGAATTTTTAAGAACTATATCAAATGAAGCTATAGATAAATATTAAAGCTATAGACACATAACAGTTTTTTTTATACGGTAGATAGGGTTGTGAAATATACCTACGAAAAGGTCAAAAAGTAAAAATCTCAAAAAGTGCTCATAGCAGATTATTTGCAATAACACAACAGTGATCGCCCATTGATCGCCAGATAATTTTTCAAGTGAATCTGCAACAACGCATTTGAGCGGTCGCACGAGACTTCGGAGCGACTTATAATGGCCGGAATAAATTGAGTAAATAAATGAAAAAGAATAAATTCACGAAATTATATAGCAGAAAGTATTCAAAACAACATTGCTTGAAAAACAGCTTGAATTGCTAATACGTATTATTCCTTTGGCGCATTAAACCAAAGTGGACTATAGCCTTTAGAGCCAACCCTAAGTTTTATGTAATTGTAAAGTCGCATCCAAAAACCACTTTTTGCCGTTATTATGCTATGATATTTTACTGGTGGTAGGACCTCTTGTGAGTCCGCATGGGTAGGTACCACCACCCTGCTTATTTCTGCCGTGAAGCAGTGCGTTTCTCTTATATCTCAAGGTGGGTGGCGCATTTACGTTTTAGATGTATAGATGGGCTCCAGTAACCACTTAACACCAGGTAGGCTGTGAGTTCGTCCACCCATCCAAGCAATAAAAAAAACCAATTTATGATATATCTAAGACGATACTTTCTCTTTTAGATACAACCCAGACGGCAGCTACAGGACCAAATATTTAGAAAGCAAACACAACGCCACAAGCAATGTCGATGAATCTAAATAGGGAGTAAAATAAAAAAAGATAAATGTATAATGGAAATTTAATTTTATTCGTCAAGGGCTCTAAATAAACTTAACTCGTAAAACAATACATTTACTTTTTCTTAAATTATTACATTAATAACTAATCATAACTTATCTATCTTATTTTGTCTAGTAGGTTCATGTGAAAGCATTAAAAGATGATGAAAGTTTAATAAATATTACAGATAAATAAAAATCTCGTTCAATAAATAGCGAAATATTTCAAAGTAAGAACTCTTTGAAGTATACAAGCTCCTTTACGGGTACTAGATACCATTACACTATAGGTAGTTTTCCAATTACAGCACAAGAGCGCATTATGCGGCATAATGCTCAACGTTGAATGTTCCAACTACAGCAACGCTTCGCACAATCGAGCACTCTCAAAAGTACTGCTCTCGCGTGATACTCGCAATCGATACCAACTCAGTGACAGAAAATTGACAAGTGTTTTTTCTTTAAGTTGGCATTGATCGAAATTTTGTTTATATTTGTTTATATTATCGTTAGTAATATTATTGAATGTTGAAAAAAATTGTAAGGTTTTCGTTTCGTCGTAGTTTCTTAGAAATAATCAATGTTAATTAAAACTGTGCTAACTTAGCGCACTCTGCTGATGCATTTGAAAACTAATTCACGTTCCAATTAAGCTTCAGCATAATTCGGCATTGTGCGTCACTGATTCGCATTATGTTCTGTAATTGGAAAACTACCATAGTACATTGACCAAAAGCCGAAAATAAATATTAGTAAAATTTTTTTTATATTTTCACCGCCGCGTGTCGTTTGACTCTTACATTAAACCCAGGTAAAGTGAATTTGCTTTTAGATGTTATTTCTTCTGGGCGCCCCTTTGTTTTAAGTTTAACGTCTTCAATCTTGACACGTTTCTTACGTGGAATACTTAATAATGCTGACCTATATTTTAAACAAGTAAAATCACTTATCGAAAATGACAAATTTTTCGTAATATTAACTCTTTAAACATAAGACATTCATTACATACATTGTATGATAAATATTCTACGTTTGAGGTGCAGTGTGCTTAGTGCGAGTTTTTTATCGTTCTCGATAGCGTAAAAGTTAGCTCATATTTCTATGAAATGGGATCGTTTGCATACACTTGCCGCTCGGGGCGCTATTCCAATTCAGTGTTGCCAGATGACCGTGTGAATTTCCCCCCAACTTTTTTCGAAAACCCCCCGAAAAAAGGGTTTTTGAAGAAAAAACTCCCAATACAGTCTTTACTTATTAAAAACCAAAAGGATTCTTTTATTTTTTAATCAAGCTGTCCCTATAACTTCAACCATCTCTAAACAATTATTACAATCATATTCACTTTCGTTATTATTATTTAAAGCATACACGTTTTCGAAGTTAAAGATATTTAACATGTCCGATGTGAGAACAAAATTTATGGCTCTATTTGGCAGTGAAATTCGAATCCTGAGAACCGCTTCGGCAGTTTCTATTGCCATTTGGTTGCATAATTTGTCCTTTATAATATTGACTTGTGAATAGTATGGTAGAATATAATTATTCTAATAGTAATTGCGAACTGTGTTTGTGGATGAATTATTGATACTTAAAAACCTCCGAAATTTCTAACTAACTTTTTCCCCCCGAATGTCCCCCCAAATTTCCCCCCCAAGGTCGAAAACCCCCGGAATTTGCAGGGAATCCCCCCCATCTGGCAACTGTGTTTCAACTGCATACAAAGTTGGCTTAACTTTTACGCTATCGAGAACGTTAAGAAACTCGCACTAAGCACACAGCTCTCCGCAAAAATTTACCACGTATAAATAAGGCTTAATGTTAAATACCCCTATCCAAGTACTCTTTGGATTCGTTTAATATCATCGTACCTAGTGAGGAACATTTTCCAAGCGACGGAGTCGTGTGCCATCATAGAAGCAATTGTTCTTCCCGCGACCTCTTTCTCTTTTTGAGTACATTTTTCGCAATTGTTTTTTAAGGCTTGAATCAACAGACCTGTAATTCAAAAAGAGAAAATAAAAAACTATCAGATAAGATAGAGTTTGTATACAATATTCACGAGCTCGTAGACTAGGGCTAAATATCTTTTTCTTTTTTTTCTACCTATTCTGATAGCCTTGAGAGGCTATTTTAGCTTCTCCTTGACGTGTAGATGAGCTCACGGGGCTCAAACCGGGTGTGGGTTAAATATCAGCATTTACCAATGGCTACTCCATCCATCAAACCGAAAGGCATTACCGCTTCTGGGTAAAAATATTCAAGATGTTGATACCATAGAAAATAAAAACACTAAGTTAAAGTTTAATGTATAATATTTTGCGAGTTTTAATGAATCCAAAGTGAATTTTCCAACAAAAAATAATTTCTTTTAGAATGCGGCGCGGCACGATAAACCCCTTATCTTACAGTGGCCACCTCCAATTATATCTCTGATCCTGGCGACGGGACAGCGCAAAGCCGCCCAAAATCTATCCTATCGGATCCTTCGAATTCAGTCTCGGTGCTTTCAAGTACTGCAAGCACCGGTCTCAGTCTCGTCGAACTCATCGAATGCAACGAAGCATCGCCGTACAACATAGACACAAACTACTGAGTTTCTTGCCGGATCTTCTCAATGATTTGTGATTCCGATTCGGTGGTAGTTTGAGTGAATCACTGGCTTTCTAAAGCTATTGTTAGCAAACGCTACCAGGTTGAGCCGCGCGAACTCACCTGCCAAACCGCGAGTAGTTAGAATAGACCTTGGGCTACCAAAAATTATACCCAATCGCAATATCAAAAAACCATATTAGCAAATAATCTGATTGAGAATAAAAAAGGCACTCCAAATTTCGGTTCAGTACCGACGAATAAATAATTTAGTCTTATGTCCTAAAATTAACCAACCCGTCAACAAATACTTAATTCAATGAAAGTAAATCAATTAAAATACAATTGACCTTAGGTGCAAATAACAAAAACAATGGATATTGTAATCGACATGAATAAGTTTTAATTTAATTCAGCTATATTACCATAATAATAGTGGTAAATACTTGTACAGTAATAAAGATATTACCTTTTGTTTGCAACATTTCCTTTGAACAGTAACGGTCCACAGACATTAAACATTTTACGTCCTGCGAAGGCAGGGGAGCTATAGCTTCATTTAAATTCACTCGGCTCTTCAGCATACTAGATTTCTCAGCATCGCTGACTGCCTGATTGATGATGGTCATGTCCTCGTCCCCGTATACCACACTGTAACCTACGCTTTTCACACCATCGCTATAACTTCTATCTATTCCAGGTGCTGTTATTTCGGACGACGCGACCGATATGAATAATAATATTACGAATTTCGAAGACATATTACTCGTTCAATCTAATGAATGTTTCTGAACAGAATTGATATAGTTTGGGCTGCTGTTGTACGGCGCGTGTTAAGCAACCACGCGTGGCCTGTCGTTAATTATTTGCGGACAGTTTATAATCATGTTGTTCCGAAAGTCAGACGTTGTGAACTGATAAAATTCTTTTGAACTGTCATGAAAATTCACTGGACTACATAGTAAGCATATATATTCTGTATGTAGGTAGGTATTTCTGTTTTCTATTTCCATTAATAATGTAGGTATATGCGTAACTGATAAATACACATATCTACATTCAATCAATCATACAATATAATAATGACTTCTGATTTCGAGATTGCGATGTTTACGGACCTTGATAGGTATTTGAGGGCTGGCTTTTGCAGCTCGATATCTACACGTACTTTTTGCACGCCATTTCTTAATGGATGATAGGTCACGGGTTAGTGTAACCATCTAAGTAATGTAATTAATAAAAAGGTTATTTTTTTAACAAAATCAGTAAATTATACGGTGCTTAAGGGAATCGTCTTCGTATCATAACGTAATGGAAAACGAGTAGGTATTCGTTAACTAAGTAAGTAAACTTTAAATAGCTTTGGGGTTTATCTGTTCTTACTCGTATGTCTTAAGCGTGGGTATTTATTTTATCTAAGTCGAAGGGAGCTTGCGGACTAGAAGGATCCATACTGTGTATTGCTTGTCAAAACAAAATTCAGTCGATAAAAATGTTGAATACCCCTGGAAAGCGTGAGCATTCGGGGCGCGTAGAACCGTCAACAAACAACCTTCATCCTCACGGCGTATTAAGAATTCGTAAATAGTAAATGTTTGTGGTTCAATGCCGTGTTGGATTAATTCTGATATTGGAATTAATGTAACAGGTTTGAAGTCATTAATGACTTAAATATCAATGTCAGGTCTGCTAATTTCTTAAGACTCCAAGTCATGCTCCGATAGGTAAATACTAAAAATAGTATTTACAAACATAAACACACAATAAACTGAAAACAATTTTAATTTATGACAAAAAAATATATTTTCTTAATAAACCTAAAATAACAAAAAAGGTCAAGAGATATTTCATTAAATAAATTATTGTTGTTCGAATTTGCTCAACCTCGACATTTCAGACTTCCTAACATTATGTATAAAATAAATTTGTTTGTATTATATATGTATGTTATGTATGCTTATTACCATTTAATCGTTCCTGTCAATAAAACGGTACCAATAGAACTGAATTGCAGATAAGTTGAGAACGCACCGTTTTCTTTTTAAATATATTAGAAACATTAAAACATAAAAGCATTTTAATACTCTTTATACGTTGCTCATCGATTTGAAGTATACGTGAATTCTATTCAAATTTTTTTAAACTTAAAAGCTGATATTAAATGGTTGTTACTATATCAGGAAACTAGCCCGCCATCTTAAAGCACGAGGTCTCAATGATGTTGTAACTTCAAACCGGAAAACATGGCCGAAATAGATGACATATAACACACATCACATCACATGACCTCTCAACGGGCTGTAAATCAAAATATCTCAATGAAATTTATAAAAAGGAATCTCAATGTAAAGCCGTTTTGACGTAAAGGATAAAACGCCTTGTAATTGTAACGAGCAATCCGTCTATACTGATCTTCAAATCCCGGAAGCAACAATAAATCTAGTGAAATAATGGTTCACAGCGCCGTCATGATAATCGCCTTATCGTTGCCGCCGCTGACTACTCCCCGAATCCTGATCACGCAGGAGCCAGTCACCGTCGACGCCCTAGACACGTCCTTACGGATCCATCAGATCCAATAACCTTTGCATTAGACGCCTTCAGCTCTAACACTAGGAGTAGGCTTAGGGACCCCGGTAACCGTACTCGTCGAACTCGACAAAGAGTTCGCCGTGCAACCTAACCCATGAATCAGCTCGCTGAGTTTCTCGCCGGATCTTCTCAGCGGGTCGCGATTCCGATCCGGTAGTAGATTCATTCGCGAAGCAGCTGCTCTTGAGCTGTTACGTCTCCTTCCGAGGCGCTCGGGTAGCTGTTAGCAAATCCCACCCCTCCTGGCTGAGCCTTTGCTCGCCCACCTGTCCTGGTGAAACTGGAAAGGCCTCCGGGCCATCAGTAATCCTTCAAACATAAAAAAAAAAAAAAAAAAGGTTCACAGCGCCTTCCGGTATTAATAACACCATATTCCACCAATTTTTTTTTTGTTGCTGAGATGTATGGATGAGCTCACAGCCCACCTGCTGTTAAGTGGTTACTGGAGCCCATAGACAACTACAACGTAAATGCGCCACCCACCTTGTGATATAAGTTCTAAGATCTCAGTATAGTTGCAACGGCTGCCCCACCCTTCAAACCGAAACGCATTACTGCTTCACGGCAGAAATAGGCAGGACGGTAGTACCTACCCGCGCGGACTCACAACAGGTCCTACTACCAGTACATATTATTATGAATTCGTATACAAAATTTGATAAACTCGAAAGTTTTTATTTTTTTATTACTTAGATGGTTGAACGAGCTCAAGCCCCATCTGCTGTTTAGTGGTTACCAGAGCCCATGGACATTTACGACATAAATGCCACCACCTACCTTGAGATGAGTTCTAAGGTCTCAGCTGACAGTACTGTACGACTGCCCTACCCTTCAAACCAAAACGCATCACTGCTTCACTACAGAAATAGGCAAGGTTTTAGAAGTTAACTCCTCAACCGATCATCATAATAATATTATTATGAACTTTTTCAAATGCGTTGTTAAGTGTGCAGTAAAAGATATAGTAGACTGTTCATCACGAACAAATAATATTCCTAGGATTATATTATAGATTATACAAAATATATCCTCGAGAAACAAACATTATGGGATTCAATTTAGAAATTGGTCATATGAGATCATACATGTGGTTTTTCATTACAATAGTAAAGCCGTAATTAAAAATAAAGATGTTTCGAAGTGAAAATTTATTTTAGCATCATTGTGATTGTAAACTCAATAAAACGGAAATGACATTCCAAAAAACTGAAATTAAGCAAAGATATATTTTATAAGACTGCCTAAATTAAATAAGCCCGGTAGCCGATTGACCTATGTGACATTTACCGATTGCGAGCTCATGAAACTTTAAAATAACTGAAACAATACTTAATATTCCTTATTGTTTGATGTCAAAGTAGTTCATTATTAACATATTCAATCATTGTCATACCGTTTATATTGTTTTTTAAACAGTACTCTTTACCATATTATTTACCTTAATTTCGTGCGGTTTCACAGCGTTCAATTTATAATTCTTTAAAACTTACGGACCAAAACTACGGTCAATGTCCACGTTTCAGCGCTATATGTCATGACCGGCAGCACGCAAGAAGACTTTTGTCTTTAAGCATTGCGGAATGGCTGAGTTCAAGATATGACGGAGTTATCCAGAAAGAGAGTGTTCCAAAAATACTTAAATTGGTTTAATATTCCTGTTATAAAGAGTTGCTTTTGTAACCGTTTGGTCTTTAAGCTTCAAGTCCACACAAACTACTTATAGCATGCTTAACCAAACTTTTGCTGGATCATGTCATTTAGACTTATTTAAAAATGTGAAATTATATTTTTTATAAAGGATCGCTTAATATTTCAGTCATATCCGTTCATCCTATATACATGATTGACTAACAACATCCAAACACACAAACATTCACATTGTTTTTAAAGTTTTAAAAGGAAAACTCATTTATTTGAAACACACGATATTTATTTACTTTTTCAATACCTCTTCCATTATTCTAGACGCTAAAGACATATCGAATTTATTTTGAGAATTCTTAGACATTACGCCCAACAATGCCTTCAGTACTTTCACTTTTCCTTCCTTGTATTGTTTTACTAATTTCGGATTATTTTCAATTATTTCAATACAAAATTTGGTTATTTCAGTTTCGTCACTTATCAATGTCCAGTTTTTCTCTTGAATAATTTTCGAGGGCATTATATCACTGTCCGAAGAAATTAATAGCTCGTCTAAGACATTCTTGAATACTTCCAAACTGATTTTTTTATCGAAAAACAATTTAAAAAGTTCTTTTAGCTGCCTCAATGTAATGGGACAGTCGGAAATGTCTAATTTATTTTTATTGAGCACCGTCAGTAGCTCGTTAATTAATAAATTTGCTATTTTAGTGGCTCGACTTCTTTCCTCGGCCAGATCGACGAAGTATTCCAGTAAGATGGGCTCATTGACGATTTGAATCGCCGCTTCGGGACGCAACTGGTAGTTCTCTATGAGGTTTTTTCGAGAACTTTCCGGTAATTCAGGAATCTGTTCTTGTATTAGGGGCACGCTGATAACGTGTTGTGTATCGTGTTTTGATTTCAAATTGACTCGTAAAGGCGGTAAATTCGGCTCTGGCATGTATCTGAAATGATAAAGGCTTTATTAGTTCTATAATAGTTGCTATAGTTAATTTGGATGTGTGGTCCTTAGAATAGCACAATTCCATTACTTCCAGTGCGTGTTGTAAAAGGCGCCTAAGGGATTCAATTAAGAATGGACATTTACTAGTAGTACGGCGCATTGTAAGCCAGGTACGGTTATGGCACGACTAGATAATTTACCATTCTGCCTAATTCTGCCGCAAAGCAATTATCCGTTCGGGTGTAAGGGCCCAGTAAAGGGTGGGACGTTTATACGATACCAAAAACCACATGCCACAAGATGGCCACCCATTTATATAATGATGTCTATGGTTGCCGGTAAGCACTTCACACCACTGTGCTTAGTGCGAGTTTTTTAACGTTCTCGATAACGTAAAAGTTAACACAAATTTGTATGTAGTTGGAATGTTTGCCTACGTTTGCCGCTAGGGGCGCTGTTCCAACTGCATACAAAATTGAGTTACCTTTTACGCTATTGAGAACATTAAAAAACTCGCACTAAGCACACTTCTTTTTTTTCCGGGCCGGCTGCCGAACCTCCTACGAGGTCGCGTAGGGG